TATATATATATATAGGACAAAACACGTTTTGTAATAAGTCCCAACCAAAAGGAAGGGCAAAGGAACAGGTACTCTGATAGAGAAGCTGCCAGCGGCCTATTTTCACGCCGGGCTAATCCAGTTTATTTTAGCGATAAAATTAAATGTAATTGTATCTATTCCTCTACCAGCATCCCTAATATTTAGTGATAAAACGTATAGTATATATAAAGGCGTAGCAGCTAAAGCAGACAGTTGTGAATATGCTAACAATGGTGACCGTCGTTAGCAAATGTGCTAGCATCCTTTATCCTAGTTAGCTACAATTCTCAAATCAAACGTCGTGCAAATATTTTTATTGTAAAGAAGCTACGTGTTGTCATGTCGGTCCAACAAGATTGACAAAATWTGGCATAACAAACGAAAAGCACTCTTTTACCTTGAAATTTAATGACTTGCTTTGAATCGTGCTCTTTCGTCTTTACGTCTTCTTCTTAGATTTGCGTACAAGCAATCATAAAGCAGCAAACGGCTGCGAGAGCGACTAGCGCCCCCACCTGGTCTGGAGAAAAACTTCAAACATTATTTTTGAAAACTTATTGTAGCTAAAATTATGCAAAGTTGTGTGAAAAACTGAATGTGTATATTTTATTGGGTATAGTAATACATTAGATTGAAAATACAATTAATTTGTTTTCTTCTGCCAAAAATTAGACATAATTGGTATAATTTGAAATAGGACTGGTTTAGTTTTCCACAAAGGAAAAAAAATATTCAAGTTTCTAGATGTTTGAAGGAGTATTTTAACATAATCATCTTTTGCTATGCTTGAAAAAAATGTGCTGAAAAAAAATAGAAAATCTTAACAATTTTGGGAATTATGAGAGCTCTATCAGGAAGCACAACACAATTTTCCTTTAAAATATTTCACATTTTTAGTCTTGTCTTTTGTTTAATCGGTGTTCAGACACACACTCACTCTCACATTTAAATATACAAATGGCAAATGAGACAGCACATAATTTACCCTGGCATCTTCCTTACAGTAGCATGAACTATTTATAGTCTGCTCCAGTAGTGACCTCACTCATCAGCTTGTTCCCCTCAGCTTCATCCTGCAACTCACCATGTAATTTTTTAGGTAGCATGAGAATATGTGTGCATATTTTACAGAAAAAAGTCCTTCTGCTTGTCGGAATAAGGAAAAAATATCTATTTTAAATTTAAATGGTTTCCCTTATTAGAAATTGATTGGTTCTTAGTTAATGTCCTGATGCATCTCAGTAATCCAGGTAAAAAAATCAAAAAAAATTGTATAGGTCTTCTGGACGGGTTCTTC